GTACATTGTTGTCTGCTTTGTTGAAGATCATTTGGTTGTAGGTAGATGGTTTTATATCTAGATTCTCTTTGCTCTTCTATTGGTCTATGTCTCTATTTTTGTACGAACGCCATGCTGTTTTCATTACTATAGCCTTATAGTATAATTTGAAGTCTGGTAATGTGATGCCTCCAGATTTGATCTTTTTGCATCTTCAGTCTTCTTAAACAGAACAACTACCAGCATAGCATTTTATATCCAGCAAAACTAAGTTTCATAATTGACAGAAAAATAGTCTGTTCTAGACAAGCAGACCCCGAGGGAATTTGTCACAACCAGACCTCCCCTACAGGACATACTCAGAACTGCATTATATATGGATCAGCACAATGGATACCCACCCAATCACCCAAAAGTTAAAGCTCATGACTTGTATAAAACAATAGCACAAGAGGGAAAAAAATGCAATAAGATACTATCCAACAGAATGAACACAACAGCATCACATAGTAATTCTGTCAGTCAATGTTAACTGTCTGAATGCACCACTCAAAAGACATAGGCTGGCTGAATGGATAAACATAAATTCTTTATATAAATTGGTAGAAAAATTTAAATACTTGGAGTTTGACTTTATATTCAACTTTAGCAGAACATATGCATATTATATAGATATTACCATCTATGTGATATAAAATATGGCTACAGTTTGAATTTTAAAAGCAAAAGAAATTGAAGTTGTCTTTAAAGGTCCCCAAATTATGATAACTAAAGCCATAATGGAGTAACCAAATGTAAAACTTGTTACAAAACAGAAAAGGAATCTAATCTGATTCAATCTAATCAAATTAAAAATGAAAAGAATGGATCCTGTGACAGAAGCAACTGCAATTTCTAATTCCTTGATACAAAAAATAAAAACTTAGTTACTTAACTTGTTTACATTTCAATTTAAGTAATTGTAGAAAATATTTTAATATAAAGAAAATGTTGACAGGCTTCCCCAAAATAGCTAAGAAAGATATTTAATATAATATTAAGTTTTAGACATCACTGTTAGAGTTCCCAGTGACTAAATTGTTGACTTTGGAAACATAAGTGATGTGGAATTTTAAAGAAATAAATTTAATTCAAATGTAATGGCTCATCATAACTTTGGGGACCACTGAACAACCTGAGGCAATTGTGGAGGACTCTCACTTTCTGTCACTTTCTCCCATTCCTTTGTCCCTTCTTCTTGGTCTTCTCTTTTCTTCCTTTGCCATACTGTTAACTTTACAAACTTTTTTTGTGCTGACTACTTTACTAACATATAATCTGTGTATGTTTTTAAAAGTGCACTAATCACAAATGTACAGCCTGGAGAATTTTTGCATGCTTTCCATAGACATAGTATAATTTACTCTCCTACTAGCAATGTGTGGGAGTGTGTCTCCCCTCCCCACCTTCTCTTCTACCTTTTCAATCTTTGCTACTCTGATAAGTGAAAATGGAATCTCAGTATTGGTTTTAATGTACATTTCACCTATTATAAATACAACTGCACATGTCTCCTTATGTTTCAGAGTCGTTTCTGGTTCCTTTCCTGTGAACTTTCTGTTCAGATCCTTTGCCCATTTTTTTTTTTTTCTATTGGTGTTGGTCTTTATCTTAGTGATTTGCTGGGTTTTATACAGCAGGGATAATTGCCCTTAGTTGGTCCTGGGAGTTACAAGTATTTTTTCCCAAGTTGTCACATGCCTTTTGAGTTTGCTTTTGATGGTTTTGCCATTCAGGGTTTTTTATGTACTCAAATTTGTAAGTTTTTATTTAATGTCTTTTAGATTACAGGTCATGATTAGAAAGGAAAATTTTGAAGGAGACAGGGTACATTATTCTGAATAGCCTTACCAAACTTCAAAAAGGAGTGAAACAAAGAACGACACAGGAGTGTAAGATGGGGAAATGGATAACTTAGCTAGTAAGGAACTCACAATCAACTTTGCTATTCAGTTTGACATGTATTTTGAGTATCATTGTATCATCCAGGGTTCTCATTCCAAATGGCAGAAACTAATTTAAGCAGAAAAGGGAAGATATAAGGGAGTTCATTGAGTCTAAGCAAAGCCTGGTTAATAAGGCTCAGAAAAATAGAAAAGACAAAGGGAATCAATATCCAAGATCCTGCACGGGCTCAGACCTTGTTAGGGCTGCTGCCGCCATTGGCATCAGTGCCCCTGGAAACTGGATCCAGACAGCGGAATGAATTAACTGTACCCACTTTATTGTGTCACTTGTCTCGGATCCTTTGTGTCAGTTGCCTTAGATTCAAAGTCCCAGATGGAAGCATTCAGTTGACCAGGCATTCATGAAAATTAAAGACAAATGAAGCTGAAGTCTTAATTTAACCAAAGGCTGGCAAGGAAATAGCTGATATAATGTTGCTTTATTTAGAGTTCTTGTTATATTTCCCTTTTATGTATTAATAAAAGTTTCAGCTTTATTACAGAATATGACCTGCCCAGAAAAAGTTTTATATTTTATTCATTCTAAAAATATAGAATACTTGAATGATGCGTTTTATCTGTGCCTTTTGTCATAAATGATTTCAATTCTAATACATGCTGAGATGAGATTATTTCAGATCTGTCCATTACAACATTTTTAGTCTGTTGTAGGAACAATAATGGTGCATTTAGCATACTTTTGTTCAGTATTATTTAGCATCTACAGTTTCTATGGAAACAGACTTAACATCGACCCAAATTCTCTGAGCTTTTTTTTTTCCAACATGCAATTGTTTTCATAATGCGAGAGCCTCAGATTATATCATCAACTCAATTTTGTTCCACAGTCAGTTCTGCTACAACTTCACATATTTATTCCCATACTGTGCAGTAAAAACCACAGGGTTTATGGGAAAAAATGGGATTGGAACACAGCACTCAAAAACTTGATCAGTGACACACAAAAAGATAGGAACTAATAAAAACAATAGCAGTTTTACATATGTTAGTTGGCTAAAAACAACAATAAATATGGCACTTGACCTTTAAAAAGATCTGGAGTTTGCTGAGAAAGTGGGTTTCAGAAGAGTTACAGCTTTGTGAGTTGTGAAGTGTCAGTAGGAGAGTGATGATATGAAATCAGTGGGAAGTTATAAAACCAGAAGTGGATGAATGGAAGTCACTAGAAATGTTTTGAGATATGTGCCTGTGTGTTTTGTATATTCGTACAAGGGTTGGGTCAGCTGGATACAATTTTCTGCATTTGATTGGTGTTTTTTGTGGATGAAAGTTATGTTATCTTCAAATTGTTCCCTAATGTATGAGTTACATTAGAACAGTACATTTTTGCATTTTTAAAGCAAGCATTATAGCAGAATTGACTGTATTTTTACAAGAACAACTCAATAATATGTATTTTAAAGCGAAATGAAAATTAGGGGAAAAAGAATGTTTTAACTTCATAACATTAAAGAAGTAGTTTTTAAACATTTCTTTTTAAATTAGCACTGTTTTGTATTTGCACTGTATGTTTTTTAATGTATTATTAAGTTGGGATGACATCCCCAATTTAAGAGTTTAGGAATTAAATGCTCTTTGTCCTTCACCCAAAAAATGGAATAATACTATACTGGGCTTCTTATTGGTTAATTGAAGCCACTGTTGGAGGATAAAATTAGTTTTAACTATATGTACATACAATGGAATATTAGCCATAAAAGAGAACAAATTCTGACACATGCTAAAATGAGGAGGAACCTCGAAAATATTCTACTAAGTAAAATAAGCCAGACCTAAAAGTACAAATGTTCTATGATTTCTCCATATATGAGACATATAGAATAGGCAAATTCATAAAGACAGTAGAATAAAGATTACTGGAAGGAAGAGGAACTGGACAGTTGTTTAATGAATACAGTTACAGTTTGGGATGATGAAAATGTTTTGGAAATGGATAGTGGTAATGTTTGTATAACAATGAGAATGTACTTAATACCACTGAATTGTATACTTAAAAATGTTAAGATGGTAAATTTATGTTGTGTATATTTTATCACAATAAAATAAGTTTTGTTTTAAGAGAGAGGATCTCACTTTATTACCCAGGCTGGAGTGCAGTGGCATGATCATAGCTCACTGTAATCTTGAACTCCTGGGCTTAACCAATCCTCCTGCCTTAGCCACCCAAATAGCTAGGCCTACAGGTGTCTGCCACCAAGCCTGACTGGTTTTTTATTTTTTTTATAGAGACAAGGTCTCATTATATTGCCCAGACTGGTCTTGAACTCCTGGCCTCAAACAACCTCCTGCCTTGGCCTATCAAAGTGCTGTAATTACAGGCATGAGCCATGGTGTGAGCCACTGTGCCCAGCCAAATAAATTGGTTTACTCTTCTCTTTGGTATTTATATCTTCAGCATGGCCTATGTGTACTATTAATTACACAGATTCTCTGAATATGTGTAATCATTTACCAGAACTGGATATATAACTAGTTTGCTTTTGCTTGTCAAAATTTAACTGTTGAATTTAGATGTTTCTTATAACACCTAGTAATTAAAGTAAATTTTTTTGAATTTCACCAATTCCATTAGAAAGTCCGAATTTTTTTTCTTCTAATGGAAAGCAGAAAAACACTTGTTAACCTTAATGTTCATTGTTCACATATACATGTAGTAAATTAACTTCTTAACATTTGAGAAATAGGCCAAAGTATCCTAGAATTTCTTACTTGGTGTCGTAGAATTCCTGGAATGTTTAAGCTGTTGACTGTAATACTGAATTTCTATTGAAGTAGAAAAAATAATATTCTTGAAGTATTTGTCAAATAATTTGAGTAAATTGGTCTTTCCACTGATTTCGAAGAGTCACAATAATTGAACAATGTTATTAAGCTAGGTCAAGGATAGTGTTTCTTTTTTTAAGAAATCTATAGCATAAGCTAAGCAAATCTATGGTTTGCTTAGCTAGTTCATGTGATAAAGCTTTTATGGTTTTACTTACATATTTCCTAAAGTGTTATCCAATTGTATTTCAGGTTGCAACAAGGACAGTGTTAGAGCAGGCTGTAAAAAATGTGGCTACCGTAAGTACACTAAAAAAATAACATTTTGTACATTGCTGTTATTGGAATCACTGCCTCTTGGGCAATATGACTTAGCATCCTGATTTCAGAGACCCTTTACATAGTCCTTTAGTTTTAAGGTAAGGTTCATAGTTGATTCAGAAATTCCTCTGTTAGCACTAAATGTTCAGTGTTCTTCCATGCTTTAAACCCAGTGACAGGTATGACTAGCAAAGATATCATGAAATACAAGTTGTAGTAGTAGATTTAGGAGTTTGGAGAAAGTATATATTTCCAAAAGTGCACATATATACTTTTACTCCTTATCCTTACAGGTACTGGGTAAGGTGTGAAGGCAAAACAAACTATGAAGTTTTTTTGTGTTTATTGAATTTACTTATCTCTTTTTATAAAGAGGTAATTTCTGCTCATGGGCAAAAATTTGATTTAAATAATCATTAATCTCCATTATGATTAATATAAAAGAATGCAAAGGGTAAAGTTCAACATGTGCAATTATATACTATAAATTTGTAACTTTATACTGTAAATAAATATTATTTCTCTAATTAAAAATAGTAATTCCTAAAGCTTTACTAACAGCTATAACAATAGCATTCACTATTTTCTAAGTTGTCTGGAGACCCTGCAAATTAACCTGAATTTTTAATACACTCCAATTCATTGAAGAGCTGTTTATTTATTTTTTACCAGTGAAAGTAGATTTGACAAAAAGAGTTCCATACAAAAACATGTCATAAGAGAGCCCTCAGGGCATAAATCTTAATCAGAAGTACAAAATAAAGGCATGCCAAGAGACCAAGCTGCATATTTCCAAGTTAAGGCTAAAACCTGGCTCCATGCTGGAGACTCAGACTTGGGGGGAGAGGGGGGAAAGGGCATTTATTGAAACCTTAAAATCTGTACCCCCATCATATGCCAAAATAAAAATAAATAAATAAATAAAACCTGGCTCCAGGAAAGCTTGCTCAAATAGTGAAATTGAGTGCTATTTTGCCAAGTTTAATTCTTTCAGGTTTATTATTCAGATCTTTAATTTTAGTGATAAAGTTATTAAACAATTTCTAATTTGTCTCTTGTGGTAAAATTTAGTAATAATTACCCTTCTGTGTTAAATTTACATCTCTACAGCTGTTAGAGATGAAGATCTTATGAATTTACACATCTTTCTGATAGAAACTACATTTTAAAAACTAGCTGTTTTTTATTTGGGGGCCAGAATCTTTGTATTGCTTGTATAGGGATAAAAGAAAGGTCAACAAGATGATTTAAAATTTTTTAATGCCCCAAAATATAGGTATTATTTAGTTAGTTACAAGAAAGTATTGTCTCTATATTGTGAAAATAGTGATTTGGATTGTACAGTATAATGAATTTTAATACTTGATTGAAAAATATCTTAATGTCAGTATGTTTCAAAGGATCAAGTTAAGTATGAATGTGTTACTAAATAACATGGATCTCTTTTTCTTGACAATTTCCTTAGCAAAATTAATTTAAAAGAAATTTATAGAAAGAGTTATTTCTATAATGAGTTTTTATTAGAATTTTTTTGAGTTGGCAACTTCTGAGTACTTAAAAAGTACAGGGACATTAAACCTTTGTCCATGGAATAAATGTCTCAATTAATGATAGTTCTCAAAATATTAAAAGAAGATCAATACAGTAAACTCGGTGGTTGTCATTTGATCACAGCAATACTAAATAAAAGCAAATACCTAAATGCCTTTAACATTTCATTTAACTTAAATATAAAGTCATCACTTTTCCATTGTTTATAGGTCTGCTTATTAACGTTACATTTGGTCTTTTATGTCTAAACCACATCTGAAATGCACTCTCTATTTTTTATAGTTTACTTCTTCAAAGATGGGCAAGGAGTTAAGACACTTGTAAGGCAATGTGAATGGCAAGTGCACTATGACCCTTAGTATGCAAGGCCTGCAATGGTAGGACAGTCCTAGACAATGAAGAATTTTATGGTCCAAAGTACTAATGGCACCCCCTTTGAAAAACTGGTACCTTTTCTCTTTGTTTTAGATTTTTTCCCTATCTTTTACAGTCTTCTTGCCAATGCTTAATGTGCCAACTGCTTTTAAGAGCAATTCATACACAGGTGTGCACCACCACACCTGGCTAATTTTTTCTATTTTTTGTAGAGATGGAGTCTTGCTCTTGCTCAGGCTAGTCATGAACTCCTGGCCTCAAGCGATCCTCCAGCCTTGGCTTCCCAAAGTGCTAGGATTACAGGTGTGACCCACCAAGCCTTGCTAAAATACCTATCTTTGAGTCATGTAAATTCAGTGTGTCCTCCACAATAAACTAGTTGTAAAATGTTAAAAAAAAAAAAAAGCAATTCATTTAAATCAAGTCTTTCTAAAAGTATAGCTTTTGTTTCCTAGAAACAACTCTTTTTTGTCCTCACTCACATTTTATCAACCTGTGTGATGTTTAAACACATTTTGAAATAATAACAGAATCTTGGTGGAATTAAATGTCAGCTGGGGGAGTAAAATATGTAGGCATGAGCTGAGGAAAAAGTCACCAAGAAGGTGCAGCACCAGGAGAAACAAGAGTAAAGCATCACAAAAGCCATAAGGAGTAAGGGTTTTCAACATTGAGGGGGATTTGTCAGGTGTAACAGTTAAGATTTATAAGAAATGGATTGAAAAATGTTCATTGAATTTGGCAGGTAGGATGCTTTGCTAACCTTAGTAAGATCAATTTAAGTAGTTGTAGGTCATGCAACAAAGTACTAATATATGTTTTGGCCTGAATGGAGAAGTGGAGAGAGCCAACATAGTCTCCATTGTAAAGAAATTTACATGAGAAAGTAGGAAACATATTGAGTAATTCCTAGAAGGAAATGTGAGAAATGGTTTTATTTTTTTAAGACCTAAGATGTTTGTATAGACTGAGGGGACATTAGAGGAGTTTGCAGATATGAATGACAAAAAGAAATTAAGCAAGTTCTTCTAAGATGTATGGCAAGGGCACCTCAAGTTTGGAAGAAACTAGGTAAGAATAGGTATGGATGCTTTCAGGTGTGGAGACAAAGTGGAAGGAGATGCTGCCTGGTAATCTCACTTTTCTTTGTATATGAGGAGACAGGATTGTCTTTTTAGAGAAAGGGTTTGGGTGAGTCAGGGCAGTGGTTGATGAATGTTTTGAGACAGGCACAAGTTTGGGAAACTCATTGAGGGAAATAGGAGAGAAAGTTGACCAAGTAAAAATAAAAAATGAGATAATTATGTTTCTGCTAAAATGCGTTAATGTTGTTCTCAACCATTGCTTGGCGGCCCCAGGATACCCATGACCGAGAGAAATGGTAACTTTGAGCCAGATTAGTCGTTTTGCACTGAAGTACCGTAGATGAACAAGGGTATGAGAGAGTCAAAAAAGACTTGTGAAAGAGTTGTTCAGATGGGCAGTAATGAGAGGTTTGACACTAGGAGAAAACGAAGGTATTTTGAGGGACTAACGAAGGTATATTGAGGGACCAAAGGTCTCAATGAGATTGGAAAACAAATCTAGGCATAGGTGCAAAGGAATGAGAAAGTTAGAAGGATAGAAGGTATAGTCATAATATAATATTGGAGTTGAAAATTTCAGAGATACAACAGTTACAGGTGATGAGGATAGGCACCATAGTGTGGCTGTGGAATCTAGAATGTCAAGGAACTGAGAAAAGCTATCCAACAACCTAGGCCGCAGGGGGAGAACCTGTGGCCTTCTGGATCATTAAGTGCGGACTTTTGACTACACATTTTAAGGCCACAGTTTCCCCACCCCTGACCTAGGCTGTCCATTCACGCTTATGGCACAGCTTAGGGTAAAGAGCTAGAGTGTGAGCCAGGATCCACGTACTTCAGTGAATGAAGCTGTTGTATATACTATAGGCAGCTGAATGTAAAAGACTACTGTTGAGAAGCCTGGAGAATGTTAATAGTACTGAGGTAAAGGATGATTAGTTATAGAGAAGTGTCCTCAAGGAAGAGCCAAATATCCCTTAAAACAAGTGGATACGGGAGCATTCTGTGAACAGGTAGGGCAGGTACATGTTTAAGAAACTATAGTAAAAGACCGGGAGACGGGGGCAATGATCAGGGGACCAAAAACAGAGCAATATGAAGATGAGACTTCAAGGAAAGATTTATGACTACAAAGGCCTACGTTGTTTTGGGTAGAAACCAAAATGATAGGAATTTGTGAAGCTTGGTGGGATTAACTGGGTTTAGGAATTCAAATGATTATAAAATAGCTTTTGTGTTCTCAAATCTGAGAATTTTAGGTAGAGCCAAAGCCCAGTTAACAGTTGTAAGCACATAGCCTATATATATTCTGTAAGCTAAGAATTAGGCATTTGAGTACCCTAATTATAAAACAAGAGTTTTTTATGCACTGATAGATTTTTATCTGTATAATCAAAATAAAGCTGAAGTTTTATTGTAATTTGATGCTTAGATTTGCAAACATAGCTACTCCTGGAGCGAGGTAAGGGGAGAATATACTTTTGCCTATATTAGTACAATAAATGTTCAGAACCTGGCACCATGTATTAAATAACTATTTGATGCTAGGCTCTGTACTAATTTCATTGCATTTCATTCTTAAAACAATTCTGTGAAATAGGTTTCATGGTCTCCATTTTTATAAACATTCAAGACCAGTGGCTCTAGCACCAGATTACTTAGGTACAAACCTCAACTGGCTATGTGACATTAGGTAAAATAAATTGCATAACCACTTTGTGTTTTGTTTGTGTGTGTGTGTGTGTGTGTGTGTGTGTGTGTCTGTAAAATGAGATAATTATTGTACCTAGTTCTGTAGAGTTGTTGTGAAGATTAAATGAATTCATGCAAGTGAAATGTTTAGTTCAATGGCTGGTCATAATAAGTCCTCAATATTGTTATTGATTATTTCTGTTATTACAAATTAGAAAACTGAGCCTCAGGGTTAGTCTGTTAGTAAGTAGGAAAACCAAAATTTGAACTCTGGTT